TTCTCACTTCTTCAATTCAGTCAGTAGTCACTCCAGATGGTGCCAGTCTCACTTTTTTAATCCTATGGGATCTCCTTCTCTCGCCTCTATCTATCTACTTATCACCTTTGTTTGGCTCTTATTTCAGTTTTTCTTACTCTCATATATGGCAGAAAGCCAGTACGAACAGGGGGATGAACCAACCAGCTCTACGAAAGTCACAGTTTCGTCAAGTCAAGCAACAAGAGCCTCTACTGATCTAGCAAAACCTATTTCATCCATCACTGATACTGCTGAAAGTACTATTATTCAAGGTGTAGTCACGAAAATGTCTCCCATGAAACTGAGTAAAACCAAACGAAAGTACTATTTTGGCACAGTATCGGATGAATCCTCTTCTAAAAGATTTGTATTGTTCAATACAGCTATCTTTGATAAAATGAAGACATTTCATGAGTCCTCCGAAACTATAGAGCTACAAAATTGCTCCGTTCAAAGGTCATCTCCAGGCCCGTAGCCAGGGGGGGTTCGGGGGGTTCGGACGAACCCCCTGTTGTAGCTGCAAAAAAATTTTAGATTAGCTCCTGTAATGAAGAACAGCACTGCAAAAGAAGGATTAGCATTTTGGCAACAGCGAGAAGCACAGATAGCCATTTTAGCTGAGTCACACATGGCTGAGATGCGTAAATTAAGACCACGCCTACCAACCACGCCCATTTTGTCAAAATTTTCGCTGCGCGCTTCGAGCGCAGCAATTTTCGAACCCCCTGTTTTCAGTTTCTGGCTACGGCCCTGATCTCTTAATAATGCAGAACTTGAGATCATGCTCAATAATAAGACCAACATATCGCCTTCTCCCAAGAAATTCAAAGTAGAAGATGTTGACCTGACTCCCAACTTCACCGGTCTTTCTCAGCTAGCAACAATATCCATAAATCAAGTCATCAACATATCTATTAAGGTTTCCAAGGTGGAAGAACCTACGCAGGTTTTAGCTAAAACCAAAACCCTCACCAAGCAGGATTGCATCGTTAATGATGCTACAGGAGCAACTAGAATAGTTTTATGGGAAGCTAATGTGAATAAGTTGGAGGTGGGTTCTTCATACCGTATAATGGATGTTAGGGTCAAGGAGTATAGCCGTCAGAAGTACATCTCTTTAACACCTGAATCAATTATTGAAGCCATTAGTGATATTGGTGAAGTACAGACGGCACCGACATTATTAAATGTAGATGAGATTTCTCCCAACATCATTGAAGGTGAAATTGTTTCTTTAAATTACACTGAATACTACTTATGTCCAATTTGTAATACAAAAATGGTACAAGTGTCGTCTCTGATCAGTCAATGTGATAAATGCCAATCCAAGTCTAGACTCTCCTTAAATAAGAAATATCGGATCGCAAAAGTGCAAATCAAGCAAGACAGCAACACTATCATTAGTGTCACGTTGTTTAACAACACTCTTCAAGAGCTAGTTGATCTAAATATGACTAAAGAGAGTATTGAGGAGACTCTACTGATGCGTACAGATCCAATCAAAGTTACAGTTAATAGCAATAACATTTTTGTTGCTGTTGACAACTGAACCTTCATTCTGAAGTCATCGATTGTTTATCAGATATAAACTTTTGATTCTTTTCAGTTTTCACTTATGAATTTTTGGTTGTTTTCACTTACAAATTTTTGGTTTGTTTTTGTTCAATTTTGTCAATAGTAAAATAATTTATATGGATTTTGAATGTCAGTCAACACAGATACTTTTTAGCGTGTATGATAAGAAACTTGCCCGTGCTCGCCCCATAATGTTAGTAATATCGTCCTAGTTATTATGCTCTATGAGTCATATCCGGCGTCGAGAGCATGGCACATCAATATCACTTCCTGTTTCTTATCCATGTGTGTATGTAGTATTTATGGTCCATCCGTCCGTCCTTTTCGGGCGGGGCGGGTCTGTCCGTCCGTCCGCTTTTGAGACCCTACCTGAGATTTGAGAAGACGATGAATTAGAAGCAGCGTACGAAGGAGAATCTGAGATTTAAGATATGTTGTCAAAAATATTAACCAGCTCAGTGACCTACCTTTTTTGAAGAACTGTGATAGTGTAAACTGCTTCGCCATTTTTTATTTATTACAATGTAACAATAACGATAATCAATTAATTATAATTATTATTTATTATTATTAATCATTATTATTTATTATTATTAATCACTATTATTATTATTATTATTATTTAAAAATTTCATTATTCACTTGTAAATTTTTGGGGGGCGCCAGCCCCCCGCCCCCCCGTTCCTACGCCTATGATATATATATATATATATATTTTGAGGTCCAAATACCATTTTAGGAAATAGATGCTCGGGATTTTATTTAAGGAAATACGGTAAATTCCCAGTAACTAACAAGCTGTAACAAGAATAATGTACTCCGGATTTCACTGGACTTTCTTCTTTATTTTGTCTCTCCTACTTCAAATAACAAATGGTAATGTGAGATGATGTAGTAAAAAAGTAACCCACTTACTGGTATAGAAATATACTATAAGTCCATTAAAATAATTTCAAATTATATTTTATAGCTACAAGTGGACTCTCCACTGCAGGCCTCATTGGGATTACAGTAGGTATTGGAGGAACAATTTTTCTAGCATTGTTAGTACTAGCTCTACTAATAGTTGAAGCAGTCATTATAATTTGTGAAAAACGTGGAAATGGTAAGACTAAGACACATTTAAATCTACTCCAAAAACACTTGTATTATTATTCCTAGGAACTGACAATGCGGCTGATACTCCAACAGAATCAGTTGATCCATCAATGATATTATCATTTAGTGTGAAAGAGAATGTAGCCTATGGTACAACAGCTGTTGATAGTACCATACACACATCAGATAATGTTGCTTATGCTCAAAACAGAAGTGCTACTCA